CAATGTAACCGCGGATTTCCTGATACACCGCACTCTGAAGAAGAATAAGGATAGTCTCGGAGCTTGCTACTATCTACCTCGACGCTGTAACTCTGAACGCTATGACCCCTGGCACTCTCCAACCTGTCAAATCCTCATGCCATAACCCTCTCTGAGGCTGAGCCTGGAACCCCGCTACGGTGAGACGGAGGAATTTTTGTGTGATGAACTGAATATTTAAATATTGAGTGGTTTCAATTACGTGGGTGCTTTTCACGTCCTCGGGGTACGTGCTCAGTCAGTCGACCGTAATGCTTACAGCTTCTTTGTGTTCCTTGCGTAGATTCAGGAAATCTCACTTGGCAGTCACGATAATTGCCACGTCCTTATCTACTCTATTCGCCACCGGATCGTCGATGGTTTCGGTCCTGGCCGAACAGAACCGTAATTACTGCGCGAGGTTTACTCAAAACTGCCGTTATTCACCGTGCGGTGCGGATTTTGATTGGGTTGTATTCGTGGCTCGAACGACACAGTCGTTGGATGTTCAGAATGGAACTATTAGAAGTGCGCCCCATTCGTTAATGACGGGGTTTATGAATTTATTTGATTTTTTGTAATTCACAAATTGATGTTAGGCTAATAGGTGGTATTTTTCGCCGTCGCAATCTTTCACAATATCTTCAGATCCACATCAGTTGCAACGCCCATATCCAGTGGCGATTTGTTGCTGTGTTCATTGGACATATCTGGCGCGGGCGGGGCTTTGTTTACCGTCTATACGGGCCATAGGGGATCTCCAGGTCTGCCTGGCTTCCGGAAACTAGCGCATTATTCTCGTGACATCAAAAGATGACCACTATTTTTATGATCCACATCGTTTGCAACGCTCATATCTAGTGGCATTAGGTGGCCTTTGTTACAAGCCGTGTTCACCATCTGGCTAATGTGGGACACTTGAGGATCGCCTTTATTGGGCTTAGCTGTTTTTAGGGAAATTACTAGCGTATCGGCTCTTGCAACAATCAAGAAGCAGAGTGCAAATGAACGATCTACAGAGCAATATTGTTTCATCTATCGGTCCTGAACAGGGATCGTGCTACCATTTTGTAGTGTGACCACGGATGTCTGTCAGCATCCATCAGCAGCAGCTGCGCACTCCTCTCATGGCTGTTCTGAAAGTTATCAGATAAGCCCGTTTTGTCACTTCTGCATCACATTGACATGCCGCATGAAAACCTATTTTCATTCCTATAGACCGGAATTAATATTACTCCGCTCAGCGCCTCTACGACTATGGAACTGGAAACGAACAGTGACCTGCCCTTGGTAGACGTCTTCGGTCACACATCTGTCAGAACGCCAGTGGCGCCGCGTCCTGTCAGCGCCCATCTCACGCGGCCTGATTCTGCCAATATCATCTTGGCCGCAGCAGAGCAACAGAACGAGTTTGACCTTCGGGCATCCCCATGAGGCCGTGATCTTTCTGATGATTGTGCTCAACTTTAATATCGCATACATATTTCAGGGTGCTTCTCGGCAGCCCTGGTATTACACCCCGTTGAGCAGTGGACGTTGCTAATACTCTCAAGATGACTGGTATGGTGTGGAAATTTCCGCCTCTGCTCACTCTCCGGCAAAAAATAGAAGCGCTAAGTGGCAAATGCGATAGCTGGCGAATCAATTATGAAAATAGTTATGAATTTACGACCTTTTTTTAATGCATGAATGATGCGCATGGCGGCGCACGTCTCAACCACGTACGACCAAGCACAGACATCATCATAATGACAGGTATAGGGCATGAAGCAATGTGCCATTTGTACTGTAACTTCAATATCAATGCAGACCTGTGACGTCTGCTATTTCCCTAGTTTATTGGTGTGACTAGTATGCATGGACAAGAGGAGGGGGGCGTCAGTTCGCTTGGCCTAAAATGGAAATATGCCCTGAGGTGCTTTTCTTACTCCCATGACTCGGAATGGAAGTGGATGATGCTCTGAGCATAAACCATGTTTGTTGAGATTCGAGGTCCTAAAACCAATCATTTGACACCTGGAGCCAAAGCGTCTGTCATTTAGTTCTCGCCGAGCCCCTTTTTCCTGTCATGCATGCCTCCGTGGGCCACTCCTGCATGGTGTCTTGAGCTTTCCGTTATGGGTTGTTTTAGAGCTTCGCGCTGACCTCTGACATCGCTGTCCGGACTCCGGTACCTGGGTCTTGCAGTCGAAAGTGATTATTTTTTGTTCCGCCTTGGCATCGACATAAACAGGAGTACACGCTTGAAACTACATACACCATCAGGACGATATGACGCGGTCCACCTTCAATTCTTCCAGCCTTGCTGAAGCCTCAAATGGACACTCCTTTGGTCGTTGGCTTCCAATGCGACCGAGAATGACTTAAAGCTGGCGCCGCCTAAAGGTGGGGAGGTTACACCATTTTCCTGACTGTTGGACCGGGCACGGATTGCAAGGGAACCTCAAGGCCAAACCTCTATAGCGGGAGGTTGCATCTTTATCTATCGAGGACGGATTACGACACAGGACTCCTGGCACTGCAGAGGACCTGCGCCAGACGACCCTGGCACATTGTCAGACTCACTTTGTCCTTAGCTTGTTGCATTCTTCTGGCGTCCAGCCCCATTGATACCTTTCGTTTGGTGGTGAATCCCGACAATTTGGGTCAGTCTGTTGAGAATCTCTATCACTGTTCTTACCTCGTGCGTGACGACACTTGTGCCCCGGAATTTACGCCGGAGGTCGAACCTGTTGTCTGTGAGCCCCTCACATTCAGACATGAGCAAACTGTCAGGCACTCACTATTTTTCACCCACTGCCGAAAGCCAAGATCTTACAAACACAATGCATTTGAATTCATTCAAGTACTAACAAAATGGCATCAGGTATTAGTTGAATAAGTTAGATGAACAAACGACATGGTCCAAGAGGATCCTAGAAAATGGAGTCGGTGAGTAGGCGCGTGTAGGCGCGCAAAATGTTTGTCCCCAAAAAATAAGTTGTTAAAATAGTATACACGTTTTGTGACAATACTATTTTAACAATTTATTTCGGGGAGACACAACTTAATTTTCGGGGCACACATTTTTTTCGGGGCACAAATAATAATTGTGCAATTCAACAGCATAGGCGCGTCGTCCACTATGCATGCTCTCGCTTATCGACTTCTGCCACACCAGTGGCAGCTTCTACTTTTCATGATCGGCGTCTTCCTCAAACCTCTACAGACTACAGCCCTTATAGTACTTAACTCCATAGATGATTATCAAGAAGATGATCTTGTGTTCAGCTCAAGACCCGTGAGCCGTGGCATGATAAAGAACTTGTTCTCAATACAAATGAATCAACTTGAGGCTTACTAAATGTCATCTAGACTCTCACTCAGTTCTTCTTGACATTTCCCCTGTTGCCGGTGAACTTTGTTGACATCTCTGGCCTGCTGACTGGATCTGCAGTGACTGAAGATTGCCCTGGTTCTGCCGTTGTCCCCTTTACAACCGAGTCTGCGTTCATACGGAATGCCTTGTTTCCGATTACATGGTACGTCAAGTCAAAATGGTATCGTGTATGATGTTATTATTAATCGTCCATGGCGCATTTTCTCCGCAACGGCCAGCATTAATATCGCCGCATATTTATTTGCACAGTTGACGATTTGTCTTTTTGGCATATTCTTCAACTTGAGTCAAGTCATTTTGCGACCCTTCCTGTTCTCCTCCCCAGGACCCACCCTGATCCACCTCGTTATCTAATATGCGACCCAACCATTGAGATTGTGTATTACGGGCGTTATCGCGACGACTCCTTCCGCCACTTGGGTCCCGCCTCAGATAGTAACTTCCCCCGTTTTACGGACTTCATACCACCCTGATTGACTATGTTTACAGCTAACTTCATGCCATGACAGGTCGTTACTCATCCCGCTCCTCAACATTGCAACCCGCGACTATCGCCCCATGAACCCAACGAACTTATCAAGACTATTTCTCCCTCACAAATAGTTCTTTTCAAACTCAACTTAGATAGATTACACTTCAAAACAACCCTATATAGGTGTATATGATATGCTGTGAGTCGGCAAGTCAGATGAAGACCGTTCGATTGAAATTGCTAACATGAAGGGATACTCGGACATACGTGATCTTGGCGCGTTGAGGTTCATCCTGACATGGGCCACTCCTGGAAGCTTTTAGATCGTCAGCGTGGCCCTCTTCAAACATACGCCACCTGTTCCTGTCCTGCACCGATTTCAGCTAAACATAGGCTGAGGCTATCCTTTGTCAAGTTGATAATCCTCGGACCTATCACTTGGCAGCCTCATACTACCAAATCACGGTTTCATTGAGCCGACGTGTCTAACGCTCACCTTGGCGCTGGAAACAGAACTCTGACTCTCACGTTTTGCGCGCTTCTTGAGTTCTGGTTCTAGATCATGTACGCCAGGTTTACATATGACGCGATATTTGAAGGCGAAAAGGTCGATCCCTTTGTGTGCCCTGCGGGCTTTCACGGGTGCAAGTTAAACCTACGTGGCATGCAACAAACTTGCGATAACGTTGTCAGAAGACCACATTGAACGTGCGCTCGATGTTGCCTCCCGTCCTGCTTGAGAATAGGCTATTTTGAGTTTGGAATGGGTGACTTGGGATGCTGGTACGGATTCTTATAGATCGAATCATACAATCGAGGTAGGTTTCCCGCTCTTGTTCGCGGGATGGCATGCCAATTTGTGGTTGAGAACGTGATAAGCGGAAATAACTTTTTTTTCTTCAATGTCGTTCTCGCTGGACATGCTAATTTTCCCACTTCTTCAGGTCATCCAGGGGCACCAGGAACAGCCATCGTCGGCATCGCAAAATTCTCGGACGACTCAAGTCTCGAGGATTATCTCACTTGCGTCCAACGATCACGCAATCACACAGGAGTTTATGTACGAGAGATAACGCATTTATGTACACTATAACCTTTTAAATATCTTGGATCAATAATCAACCACGTCAGTCAGAGTTTCGCGGGATTCGACCACCTAGGTTTGCGTCTCTGCGGAAGAGCGAACGGAAAGAACACGTTAATTTGATTTAAATTATCACAACCTGTGCACCATACCTCCGAGAAAGCGGCCAGTCCCTCCTGGAGTAACGTCAGAGGGAAGAAGGATGAATACTCCATACCCCAAAAGACAAGTATGACGTGACGTGACGTACTTTGATGTTTGCGCCGTGATATAGACGTTTGCTCACGAGACTCATCGAGTGGGTGTGCACAGCTTCTTCGAAATGGTGTTTTTGCGAAAGTATAAGGCCTTCCTTTGAACTCTGTACTGAGTCAGGGGAGTTCATGGTCATCTGTCGCGCGATGTCCAGAGCAGTAGGTACAACAGCCGATTTTTCGACGACGAGGTTGACACTGCGGACCGGAAGTATACGCATGAGTGTCAAGAAGCTGTCTTTGTGACTGGCGGTGATTGTAGGCTTGACTCACAAACGAAATCTGTCTCTAGCTTGGACGGCAGTGATGGTATTTCCCAAGAGCAGCATCTCAGAAGCAAGCTACGCCGCAAGATTTTCTCAGTGAGCGGAGATACCCTGTGAGTTTATTCACGCCGAAGCGATACCTGATGGCCCGCAACCCTCCCTAACCTGGGAATAACTGCGAGGAAAACGAATCACCGATCAGCAAAGTTTATACATACCCGCCCCCCGCTTCAGTTTTCCAAAATAATCGACGAAGACGAGGCTGAAAATGGAAATAGAATGACTGATGCGGCGTTCACTCACCTCCTTGTGCAGCTAGTACACCACGCTTGACTTCTGGAAGTGCGAACACGGCGTCTTCGCTTGCAATGACCATATCGCAGTTTAGTATTATTTCAACACCGCCGCCATAAGCCGAGCCGTTCACTGCGGCGATCATAGGTTTGCATGAGGTGTGCCGGCGCGAGATGGATGCAAATCCGTGTACAGAAGAAGCCACACTTTCTTGTTCGTTCGCCGTGCCACTTGACTGATCGTGGAGCCAGCTGGTGTGAAAATGAAGGGTCGAGGGAATAAGGAACGAGAGGATGGCGAGCGTTATTCCTCGTTACTTACGCTTTCAAGTCGGCTCCTGCACAGAAAGCACGTCCTTCGCCTGTCACGACTACTACCCTTGAAGTACGGGACAGAGAAGTTGAACAAGATTGCCGATAAGCTAAGTGACTGAACCTACCACAAAGAGGGCTCATCATCAAACCAATTTAAAATGGTAGCTATACCAGTGGCAAGTTGAGGTGTCATGGCGTTGAGGTGCCTCGGACGGTTGAGTGTCATAAGCATCACATGTTCCCGAGGGAAAGACACCTTGAGCTCATCCGAATGAGAAGGTGGGCGCAAGGCCAGCGGGTCCCAGTTGGAAGACATGATACGAAAACTGTTGGTAGTATACAGCTGCGCAGTGCGAAATGACACACACTACACAGGACTCGGATGGACTCGTCGGACTTTCGGCTGACAGATGGGAAAGAAAACGAGGAGGGCGCTTAAACATTTGAAGAAAAATCACACCCGAATTCAATCCGAATATCCTGTGCGCTAGAAATAACTGTATCACGAAACACGATAATAGTTCGCTAAGGTGAGGTCACATGGAACGAAATTATTCGTGAAACCAGACTAGTAGTATTACGCCGACAAGTACGACGGAGAAGGTGACTCGGATAAGAAGAGCCGAGTCCGCCTATTCCATAGGTGGGCGTAGGGTATGACAAAGATCCATCTTCAACGTTGTCAACGTTGGCAAGCTTCTTCCAGCTCGGTTCATGATAGGCTTCCGAGTCGTTATACTTGCGGATAGTTCGGCGAAGATGATACAAAAGAGACATCGGCAGTACACGTTGTTTAGAGCCGTCCCTTGGATCAGATTCCGCGATTAATATTCTTCTCTGAATCTTGTCCAAATCTAAGACTTTTCCCTTCTTCCCCACACCCGTCAGCGGAACAACGAGCATCTCATCAGAGCCCGAATGACACGTGTTCCTTATACATTTCTATAAGGAACGTGCCATTCATCAGGGTATCCACGTGGGAGGACTTGGAACCGAGCCAGTGACTTCATTTCCGATGTAGCTTGTTGTTCGGCCATCAGTATGCACGCATGTTGGGATGAAGATGGATTGTCCGTTTGAGACGTGTTACTGACGTTTCAGTACGGTTGACGGTCCGACAAACAATGATGGTTGTTGCAGTAAATCATACATACAAGGCAGACGGCAAAATTGTGAGGCTAAAATATCCTGCCGCCCCGAGGAATCCGCACAACGACTCTGCACAACCTCCTCCCTCCTCCCGTGATCCTACAACTGCGATGAGACCTCGATGACTAATGTGCGTTTATGCACGGGGTGTAGATGTATGTTGATACAATGCGATAAAGAGTCCAATGACAACATGGATGGATGATCGATGATGAGACAATTGTCTAGGATGAGACATTGAGTGACTGGATGATGTGAGACAATAGAAAGGATGACTTACGAGCAAAGGGAATAAATATAGTAAAAAAAACGTAATCATTGTGTGTGCTCAGCGGAAGGGACAGCTAGGCGAGTGAGATCCGCGCCAGCCACAGTGGCAACACTGAGGTGCATTGAAGTCCATGCAAGAGTCATCATCAGATGAAATGCGCATTGATACGGGTGTGGGATGAGAGTGGCGCGTGCAGTGATGCGAGTTGGATGATGATGACTGTTCGGATGAGAATGCAGTCTTGGAAGACATGCAGACAGTAGAGCTAGTAGAAGCACGCATTGCTAGTAGTAGGCAGTAGTAGTTCTTGGAAGAGAGTTGGTAGGTTGAATGATTAAAGAGAATGAATTTGCCCCACCTTTTATGCATTTTCGTTGTGGCAGCCGGTCATACTTCCGTTATCGGCTTGCATAGACATAGACAAAACGCATCCGACGGCCAAGAATTATAGAGTATACTTGCGGGTTGTGGCGTCACTGATGAACCAAATCTGTAATCAGCGCAAGACAAAAAAGGAAATTGGGAAACTTTGGTTGCCTGAGAGCACTTCGACCCCTCGAAGAAATCACCCAGTGCCCCAATCGAGCATTTTCGTACATCAATTTCCTTGAGCGCTCGCAGTCAGGGCATCCCATCCACACGATAACCTTTCGAGGCCATGTTGCACCGGATCCTTGCTCTCGGGCCCCACTTGACTTTTTGACACGATAACGTACTAAGTACTGGAAGGCCATCTATATCTAACTCAACTAGGACATGTTGCCTGCTCAAGTGACACAGCATTGGCCCCGAGATCTGGCAGTGTCTGTGGCAGATTATTCATATACACATCTTGATTGTCAATTTACAATTCAATCTCTTACACGCAACAAACTCTACAACAACGCCAAGTCCTCCAAATCCTCGAGAGAATATAGACCAGGTACTCACACGATCCGGCACCCGTTGAACATCCAGCTAATCGAGGAACTGTGGTATGTGTTTCGTCAATGTGCTGCCCCTACGTTTACAGTTTACACACAAAAGGACGTGTCGTAGACCAGGCAAACAAAACGTACTCAATCCCGATCGCGTGGGGGGGATGAAGACAGGAACATGATGTGACCGTTCCTGTATAGCGTTATATTGGCAATCTCGTCATTATTGACTGATCGTAAAGACAGAACTCAACTGTCAGACCTTGAAGCCTGTAATATCGAACTTCACAGGTATTCATCCATCAAACTGGGATTTTTTTTCCACGTATTCACAATCTAAACATGCGTGTCCGCGCACCCAAGAGTTTTTCATTCGCAATGCCGTAGGCTCCAAACTTACATTGCATCCGACTTCTATGTAGAATCAACCAATCTACAAAATCAGTCATTCCCCCACCGCGTGCATAGGTAGCTAGGTTGAATGGGGCTATGCGCCCTTATGAATCGGAAAGCACTATCCATGCCAGAGTCTAATTCAGTAGATTTGGTTAGGGCCCGCCAGTTGGCCCAAGGTACCCACAGACGACTACCTCGTGTTGGTTTCCAAGCAAGTGGGCAATACATCCTAATAGATCCCATGGAACTTATCATATTCCAAAGGCAGCCCATTCCTCAATCTGTCCATCGTCCCACTTGAAACGATTGGCGACAAACTTGGCACCGCACTAGCACTAGTGGCACGTATCATCAAAGTCGCATTCCATCTCTCTGCACAGCCGGGGGAAATCAAGACCCGCAACGTAGGTTACTCAGGACGAATGACACATGTAAACATATTATCGAAACAGAAGGCAAAACAAGGTTCCGGGGCAATCGGTCACGATGCCATCAAGCCTTCTCAGGCCTTGAAAGGCACTTTGCACCGGTTATAATGCGTTTAAACGCGAGGTCTTCCCAGACTTCCTCTTCCCCGTTCAAACATCCTAGAATAACTTGCAGGGTTTGATTGTATCACCGGTGTTGTGCTGTGGGCGAGGGATCATGGTTTATGAATTAAATAACCATGAACTTGGAAGGACTGGGAAAGGATGATGTAAAAGGACATGCTGCACTGATAACGAAAAAAAAAACATTGCGTACACCCTGATCACTTCACAAATATTCTCGATCTCCATCACTTGACAACAATCGCATGACGCCCTCCACTATCCAGATCCTCCTACACTGCCTCCTTTCTTCGGCATGTCAGCATACCACTCTGGAATCTCATTCGCTTTGGGAATCGCTCGCTTGCGAAGTTCTTTAATCTCCCTTTCTTCTTCCGCATCTCGTTGTCTTCGGCGTTCCTCTTTTGCCTGTTGAATCTCCTCTTCCTTTATTCGCATCATTTGGTCAAATTTCTCCCTCTCTCTGGCACGAATTTCGGTGCTAAGGACTATCGGTGGTGCAGGAACTATCGGGATGATGTGTTCCTTACGCCATGCAAGTGACGCTTGGTGAGCCTCATGTAGTACCTTGAAATCGGGCACAGGATGCCTTTGTCGGTGCCCCCTCTCCTCGTTAACCGAGCCTGCAAGCTTCTCAAACTCAGCTTTACGCGCTTCAACGCGAGCGTCCATATGAAACGTAAACGCAATAGGCTTCGTTATGTTGGCAGGTGGCAGCTATACATCCAAATGTCACAGCCAACAATCAAATATCAAGCCATGTAAAAATAATATTGAATGAGCGCACATAAGACGAGGATTCCGTTAATGAATCACGTACCGTCTTCTCGAGGGGTGGCACAAGGCCAGGTCTAGATTGTCCTAACCGCTCGAGCCCCGTAACTGCCACAGGTTTCTTGCTGACTACATGTCCCGCGTCAAAGTGGACCCGGGAACTGCCCGAGGTTCGGCTTTGTGACGCGCAACTAGTAGAGACCCCCCCTTCCTGTCCCTGAACATTTTTGTCTTTCTCCTTGCAGATCGCTCGACCACACAGGGACGTTGATGCAATCGATGTGGATGACACCTGTCGCTGGAAGTTCTGTCTGGGTTTGTACTTTGTTCGCGCGCTTGGAAACTTTGACGTCGGACACCGCGAATTCCGACTGATAAGTACGCTTCCATGTGCGCGGTTCTTCTGGGTGGATGGCCGAAGAATTTGGCTGGATGACCTCATCGAATTGGTCGGGCCAGTCTTGGCAACGGCGCTTTGTGACAACGGTTTCGCCTTAAACTTCTTGCTGCCACTTGGCTGTTGCGAAGCGGAGTCTTCCTCGGTGGCTGGGCGCTTCCTAGCCGGCCTCATGGACGATAGCTCCCGCCTTCCTGTAGATAGATGACCGGGGGAGGCGCTAGCTTGTGTGTGATACTTCTGCGGTGAAATTTCTGAAAGCCTCAATAGGTAATCGTTACGACTCAAAGCGTCCGGTGAGCATAGGGCGTGCACAACGTCGACCTCAGGCGGAGGTTGAGTTTCGATGTGTTCTTCCGTTCTAGCAACACCAGTGCCCGTACCTGCCGTGAAAGAATTTTCGGTCCTGGGATTATAGATGCTGGGGAATCCAAGTGATGGCATTTCCAAGAAAGGTGACCGGAGATCATGTGAGATCGAACCATAATTCCCGATTGCGATCACAGTCATACAGAAAGAGAGAGAAAAGAATAGAAGGACACGCGCAAGGTACAGCTGATCAGTTCCGGTGCAAATGCAGTGAAATGTGTATCAGCGGACGTACCTAATCGATGTCATTAATTTTTGACTGTAAGACACGAGGCGTTCAGCCACCCGTCCGGTCACGCTTTGGCTAGAGTTTGAGACCATATTACTAACACCACTCATAGATGCGGGTGGAACTTGGAGTTCGATATCTATGGCCACGTTTCCTGACTCAGACGTCCACGTAGAATACGACTGCACAGTTGGTTCGGCAATGGAAGCTGGACCGAGTTTGTCAGCGGCTGACATAGGGATCCTGCTTTGTGTTGCTAGCTTCGTGTTACGGCCGCCTTCTACTGCCTACCACAGGATGGTGAGCTCATACATATTGTAAATGGGAGTCAACTTACAGAATTAATTCTTGTCCTCGGCTTTAACTTTGAATTTGGTACTGCCGTAACATTTAACACAGGGAAAACAGAGGATCGCGCAACCGCTGGTGGCTGCATGGAGATATCATAATCATCGTTGAGGGTCCCCACTTCTGCGCGCAAGGACTCCAAGCGCTCCTCGGAGACGGCGGGCCCGTCAAGTACTATCTCCTTTAGTTTAGAAGGAAGGCGGGACATTTTGTTCGCTTTGACAGGGCTCTGACGTCTGAACCGTAAAGGTCCGTGGTCATTCTTCTGGTGTGTTGACGAACTTGGACTAGGTGATCTTGATAGCGATAACAGTTGCGAGGTGGCTTTCGGTGTGATGTGACCAAGCCTTAATTGTCCGCGGACTGGAGTAGGAGCAATGGTGGCGAAACTGGCGCCGCCAGCTCCGCACAGAAAATCAAGATCACTACTGTTATCTGCAAGCAGAAACTCCGCGGATGAGGAATCAACGGGGATCTGGAAAGAGACAGATGTGTCCGAGAGGTCTGGTAAGTGTCTTGTGCTTAGCTCTGTGTTGGCTGTTGCAATTGGTGGCATGGCGCGTGCAGACTTGGGACGTTTAACAATTCCAACGTGTTACGTCGGAGAGAAGGAGAAGGCGTGTGAATTGTTTCTGACGCGTCAACAGCACGTGCAAATTGATACGCGACTGTAACAGCCACAATAGTGACAGACCGTCACAGGTGCTGCCTAATTGGTGTCAAATGCAAACGCTCCCGACTCCTGAGCAATTCAGGTTTGCTTCAACTTTCAAGCAAAGTTTCTGTATCTGCCATCAATATTTGGGGTTTACATAACAGTCTCCCTGCCCTGACATGGATCCAGCCCATGCTAATGAATTTCTTCTCAGACGAATAAAACTTTCTAGCCCAACTTGTTCTAAGTTACAAAGGCTCATTTGTCTTTTTTCAGATTGGAGGATACACAACGTTCTCACAATATTATGGCGCCATCTAGCATATGTCTATGAAGCACTGCCCGTTCCCGGGAGGATCATACTCTTGCTTTCATGGCCCATTCAAAACCATCTCAGGTGTTCAAGTTAGCATGCGTCAACTTACACTCCGAATCTGTAACTCAATCTTTTTGTATGTCGGACATCACCACGATGGTTTCTCACTCCATGAACACGTCGAGGCTTTGAATTCCCAACGTGGCACCTAAAACCGACCAATTTTCTGGCAGTGCCACGAACGGCAGTGACAAGCAATGCTGCCGCAGCGTGCCTTCTGTTGACATTCTTTCAGCCTGCATCCAGATTTTTAGACGTTGCCTTGGCGTGTATCGCACCGTCTCACAGTGAGTAATTACCACAACTTTGAGATAAATGCTGACGTTCACATCTCATCCTGAATCTTCTTCCCTCGAGCCCTTATCTTGTCAAGATCAGATGCCGAAACAATATTCTTACGTCCAAATGCGCGCATTTCCCACCTTTCCCCGCACCGCGGTATGACATTCCCACATTTCAAACATATGTCTGCTGAGCGATGAGCATTCACATCCTCGATAAGTGTTCCTGATAGAAACATGTCCCCCGGCTTACCGTTCCATCTCTCCTTCGAGAGTTCTGTTCTTAATATGCGATATCACCGCGTTATAAGTCACACGCGCCAGCAGCTTCTTTCAACTTCCTTTCTCCAAGAACGCATCTTACCCCGCAATATAATTCAAATGCCTGCCATTCTGACACCTCTTCGGGTAAAATGCTCGCGGGTCAATCCTTGTCCGCCGACCTCGCTGTCTGAATACAATGACGATCACTAGGTTGTCTTCTTTCCGTAACCGCACTCCTTTTGCAAGTGTGGTGCAGTTGTTAAGGCTTTATCCTCCTTTATAACTTCGCTTGGCTTTCACCGGTTTCCTCGCACGTCCCATTCCATCTGTGGGTAATAGGAATCGGTGAGGGAGTTTGGCGCTGGCAAATGGCATATCGTATGGTCACTTGCTCTATCCAGGCACCGAGAATGAAATTCGACCCCAGCCATGCGTTCACTCTCGATTCAAAAATAGTTCGATATTGGCCTGACTCGGTGATCCAAGTGGCGTCAACTCTCTGAATCGTCTGATATCATTTTTGCTTCGAACGTCCGAGCCCTTCGTGAGTTCGAACGGCTCATCCTCGGTCCGCTGCTAGTAGTCAGTAAAACCAATTCCTTTGTGGATTAGCAACTGAACTCTAAGAAATATTGCAAACATCGGGGAAGCCCAACACAAGGTTGAATGCCGTGTATCGCTCATAGGACAAGGATACCACATGCATTCTGTCCAGTTATTGTCTTTGCATTTGATAGAGACAATTCGAGCTTCCGGCAGGTGACAGATCTGACCTCACTGCCTCGTCAAAGAAGGCTCATCCAATATTATATATAGCATTTGTATAATCATATATTCAAACCTTCCCGGTACATCGCTCTGCACCGGTATTTGTTTACATGCGATCAAGAGGGTGCCTATCAACTTCGCTGATGTGGACGTCCAGCTGATACTTCTCGATCTCGATTCTTTCTTCTCGCGACAATCCACTGGACGACTCGTCCCGCACAAGTTCGGAAAGTGTGTCCGAAAGCTTCTTTGCCAGAACAGGGAGATATCCACGCTCGGTATTTGTATGTCCACCTTGATATCATACATTCAGTGACGAGACTCCCGTCACGCGCAGTCAACTCACATAGTATGACGTATCGACCCCTTGCAACTGCTTCAAGGACTTCGTGCTGCAGTCACTGTTAGGATGGGACAGACGGAAGAGGAATCTAACTTTACATGTTGCATCTCCCCCGTGAAATACACATCGGCGTCGACTCCTGAGAGCATCGTTCCTCCGGCACCAGCACAAATTGCAACCGATTTGATCGATTTTTGAGCGAGCGGCCGCCCTACGTCAACTGTACGTTCATTATAATCAGACATGCGTGATAGGCAGGGAAGATGCGTAGTAGACCTTGTGACAAAGAAAGATGCTTCTTTACTCTTTGAACAAGTTCCTCGATAGGAATCGGTTCATCGAGCGCCACGATCCGGCCGGCACCACCTGCTTCTCCCTTGACTTCTCCCAGGATGTTGACTTTTGCAGTGGCCTTCTGGGGACCCATGACGCCTTCTGCAAGCCAATCGTTGATACCACCCCAAGTCGCATCGAGACTTGAGTGAGGGCAGAAGACTGACGTCCCTGCGGCTGAGAGCTTGAGCAGGGATGCTTGCAGTGGGTTTGCCAATGTGAGAGAAGTAATGGGTTGAAAGAGGGGTGGGTGGTAGGTTACTACCAGCGCCGTAGGCACTTTTAATGTCTCCTCGAGGACAGCAGTAGTCAGGACTAGAGGACCCTGTGTCACTACATGTTGCATGTTGATTGCAGAGCTCGTGGCATTCTACTTACTCGATCGTCAATACTACGCGCTTTGCGTCGGACCTTGGGACAGGAGACTCTGTAGTACTGGATAAGTAATAACCCGAGCTTTGATATACGGGGTGTTTACCTATGATGAGGCCTACCTGCCAGGCGTATCAGATCACCATATCAGACGATGTTACTGGCGAATGGTACAAACTTTATCCCATGGTTCAGCGAGCCGGAGTGGTGCGATTCGTTCCAACGCCTTGCACACGCTTTTCACTACGATAGACATTCTTGCAGAGTATGATACCCACACGGGATGACACGTTCAAGGGCTGGTTATTTAGAGACCGACCTTGAATGAAGCACGCAAGCAAATCAGAGTATCAGAGTATTGTGGTTGGTTATGTGATATGATAAGCGGGGATGCCGGCCAGCGCTAGCTGTGAGCCAACGTGGCTTGCTGACTAGTACTAGTTTGAAGTTACTGCCCAGTGAGGACACGCCAATTGCCGGAGGGTGGATATGTTCTCCCAGATCTACAGAGCTGTCTCGTCTAGACTCCCCTCCTTGTCCAGTTCCGCTCATACATCATCAGCATCCAGAATGAATCCGAAGGAAATCCAAGAGTTTGTTGAAGTAACCGATACTGCCGGCCTCTGAGTCAATGCCATACTTTACTGACGCTCATACCCTCATAGAACAACCTCAAAGACAACGGCCTTGTCGTCTTCATCCGGACTTCGCCGCCTTGCTATTTCTGCCAGCAAGCTCTCCGCTTCTTGCAAAAATATCCAGAGCTCCATGGTAAATCAATCGAGTAGGTGTTTTACTTGATCGGGACGCCCACCACCTTGACAAGTGCGCACAGCCTTAGTGAAACCGGCGAGCAGCAGGCTATTATCAGCTACCTTGGCAGCCTCCCAGGTTCTGCGCCCACATTCCCTCGGGTTTTTGCTAGTGAGTTATTTAGCTTGTCTAACCTTTGGGTGATGCTGATGTCATGATCTTGCAAAAGACAAGGAATTAATCGGCGGTATGATCATATTCTTGGCTTGTATTGCGTGAAGGTCGATACCATCTGATTTTTTCCCCTTAGGTTATTCCGATTTGGAGGCCTTGGGTGCATCTGGTGTAAAGGCCATGATCCAGCAGGTGTGAGGTTATGATGAGGACCGAGGATCAATACAGTTCCGAGTGATTGGCTCAGTGATGTCGTACAAGTTGAAACATTCAATAGCAACGAATTTCAGAGAGGAGCAATGTATCTTGAGGATTGGCATACCATGTACGAGATTCATATCACTGTGACCCACCAGTACTGCAATCTCCTCGGTAATGATTGAAATATTGACCCTTGGAGCCTAGTCTGGCCTGACACAGACACATGACAGTCGATACGCTAGTAGTAAGAATGCTTTTGCATCATCAGGGTCTTGACTTGCACACTGGAATGTCAAGGTAGATTCTGATGAGCTAATACCCATTTACTAAGATTTGTTGTAAGCCTCGGGATTGTATTTGCATCATCGGTCTATTATTCAAACACGGAGTAATCGAATTATAAATCATAATTCTATCAAGTGTAGGTTGCTCGCCATGATCAAATCGGTTAATTTGTTGATCACCATCTCCACCGGGTTAAACTTGCGCCTGCCTTTATCGATACACCGCGGGCCAAAAGGAAATCACTTACGTTCTCAAAGGAACGCCCGAGTGTACCACCCCGATGCCGGGTGCCAAGCAGGTCATCTATGTCGTATTCAGATATGAGTGGCTAGCGTAGACCCTTATGACGGCAGCCCTAGCGTTGCGCGCTGTAAGGAGGGGACAAGTTCGATTTTAATCAGCACGATAGGCTCCAACAATATTAAAGAAAAAGTTTTACCAGCTGAATAATGCTCGCGCGCTCCGTCGGTGGGAGCATGTTGATCTGGTCTGGTGTCATAGCTATGACGCGCATTATCATAGCCTGTTTTTTTTCCCTATCGGAATGTGCAATATGGTAGAATTGGGTTTCTCGTACCTTTTGCTCCTCAGGGATCGATGCCAGGGCATCTGGAATCATGCCACCACCTATGGGGGCTTGTTGGGGCGCGCTATAGCCTCCCTGCACACCATATTGGGAGGGCGCTCCATAACTGAAATTTTGCTGTGGACCCTGCCCGTGTCCATTGGGATAATGAGGAGGGGTAGGTGTATGTGATGGCACGTGCGGCGGCGTTTGCGACTGCGGCGTTGGTGTACGGTACTGCTGGAGGTGAGGTGGGATTGCAGAAGCAGGCTGTATGGCAGGCGCCGTCGACGGGCCCGCATTCTGTGGTTGCTGTTGCTGGATCGATGCTGAATAGGCCGTGAGGGTTTTCTGGAATTACTTGTTCGTCAATCTGGCAGTTTCCAGGTGGTAAGGGCGAATACAGCATACCTGCAAGACTTGGACGTCTACAGCATTCATTTTCACCATCAGACCGATGAGGGCATATGCAATTTGCGGTGTGGACGCGAGGATAGCGCGTGCTTGCTCTGGAGTTGTTTTCTGGAAGTCGCGTGATGAGTTGGTGGGTGTAGTTGTTGTTAGCACTGACCTTGAGCGTTAGAAGCAATTCGGTGAGCTGCTCTTCTTGCCCAGACATGGTGTTCTAGGAGCGCTGTGCAGCCGCAGTTAGCGCAACTGGTAGGCCCAAATCTAGTACGTATACTGGAGTCAGGCAACTACTAGCGGCAAGCGCTTCAAGTTGTTCTCTGATGACTAATAAGGGATTGGAAGGCCTGACATGATGGTCGTCATGTGACAGCTGGCTGGCACTGGCCTAAAACCGTTCAGCATCACTACTACTAGTACCAGTAGGTAAGTGTTGTTGTTTCCTGTGAGTTCGAAACTTCACGCTTTAGCTTCAGTTCTTAAACGGTAGACCGCTTTTATGGTGCCATATTCATGGCCACCCTCTCATCGGACGTCTTGCGCAAATTTGCTAGACTCTTTGCACAGTTGTTGAAATCTTCACTTCGCCGAGCATGCTATACATTGCGCATTTTCTATGCCCTGCTTCGTAGGCTAGGAAGCATGCGTGTTCGCTTCTGCAATGATACCCATTTTGCTGGAACACTCCAAGAAGAGTTGCGCCCTGCAATATGTGGGAGCGGCTTGCCTGCGATCCACTTACCTCCGACAGATGTCAATTGGCCTGGTGGCCGACCACACCGTACGCTCGCAGTACCGGCGGACATTGCATACCCGCAACATCCATTGTATATGACACCACCTTCACACCTCAGTTCCAGAGACAGCTTCAGCACCGGGACTGTATCTGATGTCCAAGTATCGAATGCTAACGTTGACAGTGGACAAGCTCGAGTCTTCCTAGAAACGAACACGTCAACAGGCGAGCCGCAATTTGTCTTCTTGAGGCATGCTGAGCCACCAGAGTACATCGCACTGCTATCGATCATACCGAACGACGTCAAGCGCTATGATAGGAAAATTAAAATGTAAGACTGTCACTTATCCTTGGAGAGAGATATCGACGTAGTGATACTGCCACGGAAGGAAATGGGTTGAACCGAATCACATCGTCATCACTCCGACCGACAGCAAGTATGTGGAGTATGTGTTCACCAACAGTTTCTGTGTCTTGTCATCTTCATAATACATGCATCTAGGGAGGTGCAAAATGGATGGCATGATTTCGTGCACCCGGAAGGTCCCAGAGTTTATTATCACCACGAGACAGTTAGCACGTGCCGTGAGGTCAATTTTTCAAAACGCTCATATATTCTGTAGAGAGTCTTCACGGATGCAGACATGCGCCCAGGCAAGGTCGATTCGGAGAAGCTCTTGGCGATGGCTAAGCCCTCAACGCTTATGCAAAGAGTCAGCCAGACGTACAGGCCAGGATCGATGATGGAACAGAATTGGTACTGGAGCTTGGCATCGTAAAAGGTAATACTAGCATCATCAAATCTTGTGGCTACTATTTCGTCGATCACGTGGAGAGGGTGATATTTTGGGCACATCCGTATACTTGCGAACCAGGTGGTGAGATTCTGTTCAACGTCAAGGCAGCCAAGAAACTCAGTCACATAAGTGGGTGGTTCACTACTACTCGGATTACCCTTAAACACTCGCTTTTAGAATATTCGTTAGAATCTCAATATTGGCCAGTGTTCTCCAAGGGATCGGTACGCTCCATGAACATTCTCGATCAATCCTGCTGACTTCCACGCAGTAGTGTGTTGGCGATGCTGACAGTCTTCTAGGTATCACTGCGAGCTTTATCCTCACAACCGATACCTTCCGAGACAAATCTTTGATGAGCTGAGGGAAATCATTATCCATGCAAACGCAGGTAGGCTATGTAGTTGCAACTTAATGAAGGACATAATTTTACTATGATTATAGAGACCATCACCTCGGATACATCACTGGCCCCTTTTGATGGTAATGAGCTGGCGAAGATGCTGGATCTAATGGACCGTGTTGAGGGTTAGACTGGCTCCGAGTGTTTTCGACTCAAACTAAACGCTCAACCAGGCAGCATCGATAAAATGCATGCTCATTCTGTGTGTGTTGTAGGCGAGTTTTTTTTCCGTAGATTACAACAGTACACTTATCTACTCCTTACAGCTCGATTCATGAGATTGTTCAGTACGGATTGATCCTTTGATTCGCGAGAGATACTGATAACGCCCAGCCAAGGTCAAATACACAAACTTCTGCGGACAACCTGGCGCGCGTGTTGACGCTGACAGATCAATCTATTACAAAGAGGGCCACGAGCGTGAAACACTCATCTTCAGGCTTTCCAACCTAATCCTCTGGTATGGGCCACGCAAGCACTATAAGCGTATACAGAGAGTATGGGTCGACGAGATCATCAATGCCCCGCGCTGGAAAGACTTTATCACCCAACTAGATAAGAGTGGGCGGGGTACACGCTCTATGTAAGTGCTCGATACATATTGTGTGTAGTCGAAGACTTAGCGTCGCTGGAGTCCACCGTTATGTTGGCTGTTGACGTCAGCTTCCTTGCAGTGCCTAACATCATCGATCCCTACAATAATATTGCGGTATACATGTCAGCTCTTTGTTCTGTGGGTTCGCTTGTAGTTTCTGTGCTGCTTGTCGACCAAAGCCAAGACTATCAGGACTGCCGAAGGCGGGGTATGCTTTCTTTTTCAGTTAATGAGCCTCGTTAACCACGCACATCCAGGCTTTGTACATGTCCCTGATGACCAGCGCAATTCCCGGAATTGAAAACTTGGCATTGATGCATAGCTTGTCGTTTGGACTTCTTATATGGGCGTATGTCCTAATGTCCTGCGTATCCATTCCAGAGCTCTGACCTTAGTATATCGTCAGGATGGTGTTCTTCGGCCTGGCTTTGTCTATCCTCATTTTCCATACCAGCGACGTTGTAACGCTCGCGACGATGGTCCCTGGATGGACAATAGTCATGATATTCACGTTGTGGCCTACGATGACTACTCCTGTCGGATGGCTACTGAATTTTACGAAATCCTTACCCCGTCAGCCAAAGCGTGTCGTCCGATATCTGCGTGACTCGAGACACTCAGAATTGGACCAAACGCTCGAGATGAGCGATCGAGTTGCGTAATGATCTACATATTCCGATTATACCACTACTTCCTTACTCATGTACCACCGACGCGTTTCTATATCCATGGTTAGTAGGCTTCCAGGATAAGTTGGGAGCATATACTAGTATATATTCTCCGAATTTTGTAGTGCAGCCGCTTGGTTTCTCCGCTCTTATTCCAAACATTGGTTATGGTTTCAAAGCCACGAAACTTCATCGATTCATCGTTTACGCGTGGAGTCGGCAGATTATGATCCCACACTTCGAGAATTAGTCCAAATCATTTCAAAATTTCACTATTCGAGAGCTCCAAGCTATTAATTATGTAAATGCAATCTAAACTGGTTGGCCACTGCTGTTTTGAAACACTCACTAACCCTCTCACCAGCGGCATCCTAATGGACAACAGGACGTACTATAAAGCAGACAGTGGGTCTTCAGTACAGCTTTGTAGATCCACGATTCCAAAAATGATCTGCAGTCGTCGAAGCCTCGATCCCGAAGAAAGACTCCACCAAATCATCTGATGTATATGTCAAAATCCTTGTAGAAGGGCAACCACCGCAGAAGACCAAAGAGTGTAGAGAACTTGATGGAAAGGCCGTATGGAACGAACATTTCATGTTGTGAGTGTTGAGTACTTCATACATAAGGGAAAGTTGACAAGCACTACGTATGCCGTCAGACCCATAGATATGGAAACACAGCTTGAGATCAAGAGCAAACGTAACACATTTTTCAAACATGGCTCCCGTTCTCTCGGCAAGGTTAGATTAGATGCGGCAGCAATACTTAGACAGCCTGTTGTCGCAGTGTGTAAGCTGAGGTCTTTTCTTAAATCGACCGCGTCGTGACATCGATACGACCTTCCCTATATAGCACAGGACGTTCGGCTGAATTTCCCTTCGGACGAAGTACTGCACTATGACGCCTCACAGCGAGGCTACATCTTAGTCCGTCTACACAGACCTGAAGAGCCTGTGCAACTTACTCGTCCATCCGTGGCAAAATCTTTTTCTGTGCTCATTTCACAGCTAGATACGTTTGTCCAGATCGTGGGTGTGGCATCACAGGTAAGTTGATTTAGGCCCCTTGTCCACTCACGACAAGCTAATGTTTGGAAAATGCAGATACATCCATTCGTGAACCTGGCATGGCAGGTTGTATCATCACTTTACACAGTGAGCATCAGCGCATGAGACTCTGAGTTTCTGATGAATGGTGTAGATTGCCAGAGACCAGCTGGACCGGGACAAAAGAATTGGAGATTTAACAAATATGATGGAGGACGTGTATACCTTTGTTGATGATGTGAAAAGTTTTCCGAGTAGACTGGCACCTCAAGAGGAGATCATTAAGAAGATCATGTTCCAAACCATAGAATGTATGCTGTTCATTCAGGAGTACTCTGGTCACGGATTTGGTAGTGCGTATGTTTTACCTTTAACCCATCTCTAATTCTCATTCAAAATTTTAGGACGCGCGCTCAATAAACAGTGGGCAGAAGAGAAAATTGCACGCTTCACGCAAACATTCACAATGCTGAAGGCATCTTTCAACACTGGGGTTGTGGTCCAGATCACTCTCATTGCTCATCGCACGTACGAAGATGTGCAATCGATAGGTCTGTATGCATGTTGCATCCTCTAAGCTCCAAGCGCTCATCAGTACCTAGTTCAAACACAAAGTCTTGCCAAGCTTCATCCAGTAGATATGGATGACCCATCCCGTCCGGCATGCTTGCCCCAGACTCGCAGCGACTTGCTCTCCAGTGTATTCTCTTGGGCAATGAATCCTTCCAGCAATCAAAACTTGCTTTGGCTCCATGGCCCTGCTGGCTCCGGAAAGAGTACCGTTGCTACAACGATCGCCAACATTGCGCGAGACCTCGGTCGTCTCGGCGCGTTTGTATTTTTCAACCGCCGCATGGCGGTAAGGAATGATCCAGCGGCCGTTGTACGAACTCTTGCCTTCCGACTTGGTGAATTTGATCATCGACTGGGAGCAGCCATCTCGACTGTGATCAAAAGCACTCCAAGCATCGGACAATCACCCCTACGACAGCAGTTTCATAAACTACTGGTGCAACCGCTGTCCGAATCCGAATTGGCTGTTTGGAGCCAAGAAGGCCCTGTAATCGTTGTTATCGATGCACTGGATGAGTGCGGACACGTCGGGGACCGGGAAGACCTTCTTAGCGTCCTGGCGCTAGAGAGCGTAAAATTGCCGCCGACGTTACGCATCGTTGTCACAAGCCGAGCAGAATTGGATATTCAGGAAGCATTGGAGGCACGGAAGAATATCTGCAACACTCCAATCGACATCGACTCTCTTGCCAATGATAAAGATATCCACCTGTACCTATGCGATCGTCTGCAGAACATCCGTTCTAAAAGCAAATATCTGTCACTCCCACAGGAATGGCCTGGGCATAACGCAATCGATGCTCTGACAGCTCGAGCACGCGGACTCTTTATATGGGCATTTACTGCCTGTCGCTACGTGGAAAATGGTCAATATCCAGAAGACAGGCTAGCGGACCTGCTTCGTACTGACGTTTGCTCGAACGCCGAGTCAGCCCTGGATCTCATATACTCCACCGCCCTAGAATCTACTAGGAGATGGGAAGATCCGGCATTTTCTGCCGACTTCCGTGACATTCTCGGTGTTGTGATAGCTGCCAGAAATCCTTTGACAGCGTTGACCATCGACCGTCTTAACGAGGTTTCTTCAGTCTCGAGAACGCGACCGAGTCTTCACACTATTCAGCATCTTGGTTGTGTTTTCCGAGGAACGACCAGCGAGCCGATTCAAGTAATTCATCCCTCGTTCGAGGATTTTCTAACAGATCGAGCTCGCTGCAAAAGGGACGAATGGTTCATTGATGTGTCTCTATCCCACCAAAGACTTGCCCGCCAGTGCATTGGCTCTCTTCGCGCGACTTTGAAACAAAATATGTGCAACTTGACCCTCACGAGAAGTGGGGTCGATGTTAAGATTTTACCCGAGGATGTTACCTACTCCTGCATCTTCTGGATCGAACACGTCTGCGAGTTAGAGAGAAGTGAGGAATCGCTCTCTAATGTGGTGTACGATTTTCTCGTGAAGCATCTGCTTCACTGGATCGAGACGATGAGTTTATTGAAGAAGGCTAGGCATACAACTAAGTTACTTATGCGACTAGAAGATTGGAGCCAAGTGAGTCAAAGTTCCACCCTATTTCTCTCATTGCTAAAGCAAGCCCTACAGTCAACTCGAAGTCGCCATCAAGAACTTTGCCAACTTCTGGCGGATGCAGTGCGCTTTTGCCAAGCCTTCACCGCAGTCATTGAACAGCATCCACTTCTCGTATACAGCAGTGCATTGCCATTTTCTCCAATCAACTCTGTTCTATATCAGTTATTCAAGGACGGACGGTCGATACCAGTCGTAGCTGGAGGCTTGCGTGATGAATGGTCGCCTTTGCTTATGGACATTCCCAGACCAGGTGGAGAAGTCACATCACTCTCACTATCGTCTGATGGGTCCCAGTTGATCTCGACGGTTGCCCGCGGGTGCTATGTGTGGGACGTTATATCAGGGGAGCTGCTGATCCAAGGGACCGAAAGGTGATGTGACGATGACGGTTTTCGCGCCTTGTGGTCAGCTAGCTGCGTCATGTTTATTCAGTGGTTCAATACTCCTCTGGGACACCTTCTCTGGGCAAATGATAGGTCAGCCACTCAAACGTGATCAGGGAGCGATATATGCCCTTGCATTCTCCCCTGATGGGACCCGTTTGATCTCAGGCGGACAAAATTGCACTATCATCATGTGGAATGTGCAGGCATCATCAGTTGTTCTAGACCCCCCAGCGACGCACACAAAAACGGTTCTGTGTCTTGCATTCTCGCCCGATGGTTTACGCTATGCTTCGGGCTCCCGTGATGGTACTATTCGAATTTGGGATGTAGCATCAGGGGGAATGGTATTAGGACCCTTTCGCGGTCATTCTGGGGGCGTATATTCTGTAGCCTTTACTCCTGACGGCACGAGGATAGTGTCGGGTTCAGATGACAAAGACGTCTGTGTATGGGATGTTCAGGCTGGTTCTTTGAATCGGTCTCGGGAAGCATCCATGCCAATCAAGCTTTGCGGTCATCGCAGCACCGTGTTCTCTGTTACCGTCTCTCCTGACGGGCGACTCATCGCATCCGCGTCAAAAGATACTACCGTACGCCTCTGGAGTTTGGAGTCAAGGGAAGAGTTAAGCCACCTCGTTCGCCAGCACAGAATAGCTGTGCGTTGTGTAGCATTTTGGCAGCAGTACGGGCGTCTCCGCCTGGTAACAGGTGCAAGCGATGCTACTGTCCGCATCTGGGATACCGAGTCAGTTGGAAGCATGGGCGTGGCTCGGAAGCACAAGGGCCTGGTTTCGCACCTCGCGTTCTCACAAGATGGCCAGCGCATTGTTTCGGGGTCGCTTGATCGTACCGTGCGGGTTTGGGATCCCATAACAGGCCAATGTCTACTGGGTCCACTGAACCTTGAGCAACCAGTACATTCTGTTGCTCTACCCGCAGATAATGTTAGGATCCTGGCAGCAGACCGTGAGGGCGCTGTCTTCGCATGGGATGCAACGACAGGAGAGCATTTACCCGCTACGCCGGCCGATGATCCCAGCTATCATTCTATCGTCGGGCCGCTATCTCTGGAGCGAAAGTGGATAGTAGATTCAAGGACTGGTACGGCCCTTACGATGCTTCCAACAATGTCACCTGTGAGATCCCATGCATCATTCGGCAATTGTATGGCTCTTGGGCTGGCGAATGGTGGAATAGTAATTGTACACTTTCCGGATACCCCACAGCTTGCCTAGCATGTGTTGGATATTGAGATCGTAGACTGTAACTCAACGCTCATTCATTCATTCATTCTCACCAACCATATATGGTATTCATTCATACACTCACTTGACAACCAGACACCCGTTTTCGCGTTACCTCAGTCTTGAGGTACGTCCGTTCATCCATAGTTTTCTTACTCATACTGACTTATATTGTAGACCAATCATGCCTCTATCTAGGTATATCATAATACACAGTTTTCTATCCGAGACTGGAGACCAATCATAACTGTATCTATATCAGGTATTTCGTCAGCGTGCACCCAAATGCCTACGCTTGTACGTCGAGATAAGCATCTAGAAGCCAATATACATACAGGGACTTTACATTTACGTACATCCTTCACCTGATCCATTTGGTATTCTCCGAAGGACGTTCCGTGAGACCCCATCATCCTGTAAGACAGTCTCTTGCACGATACGGTATCCATGCTTCTTGGGTATCCAGTAGAAGAAAACAAACCAATATATAATGCCAAGTATACCAATTACCACTGCTAGAAGGACGTGGGACTGTATGTCAAACCGTCAGTTACGCTTTATTCACACACAAAGAGACAGCGGCAACGTACCCAATATGGGAGATGTTCATAAACGTCGAATCCTGGGGACGGTGGGATCATGGGCACAATAGCAAGAAAGATATTGGATAAGAAAAAGAATATAACGACGGACTTCCACGCTTGGAACGGAGGGGACCACTCGTAGGATTTGAATGCAGGGGTGTACAGAAGGAGGAGGCCACCAGATACCAGGATATTAAACATCGTGATGGGGTACGATGAGACTAAATCGCGATTAGATGGGGCCCAAAATCAAGTCATGAGGTACAGACAATTTACGAAAAAGAGATAGGCATCTCCAGGAGGAGAAGCAACCATGGTGATAACAGAAATGAGCCATTGAGTGAAGAGTCCAGCAAGGGGTGTATCGAAAGGCTTGTTGCTGGCGAAGAAAGATGAAAGTGGTAGAACACCTTCTCTACCTAATTCTTGGACGACTGTGCCATAGTCAGCGCATATAATCATATACAGGTGAAGTTGAATAACCTCTGCCTTGCGTGAACAGCATGCTCAGAAGGTTTCCTAGTATTGACAGCGCAATAATAGCACTCAAAATCTGGGTTTACGCTACATAAGAAAATACGCCAATTAGCATGGTTGCCATTACTTACCCGCTCTGTAGCAGGACCGAAGATGTTCCTGAAAAATAGAGCTCTAAAAGAGTTTGGCTCAGTGTGAATGCGTTGTTTTCGTGATAAATAAACCATACGCTGCCATGGTGCCACCTTCCAACATGTCTTGCTTGGATACAACAGCAAAGTACGCGACGTTCACAGACAAGTATGCGATCGCGACAAGGACCATGGCAAGGGGCGCAGCGCGCTTGATGGTGCGGACAGGGTCTTGCACTTCAGATAAAGCATAATTGGCATTAGAGTATCCGTTGTAAGCCCTGTGAAGAAGTCAACGTCTGGCCCACGGGTGTACTAGATAAGACCCACCAGATGACATTATACATTCCAGTGACGAATCCATTCATGCCTATATCACTTCCCTCCCAAAAAGACGACCACGTGAAATTGTGTGGAATATTGTATCCGGCATGTACGGCGAATCCAGGGACACCGGCGAGACTGAAGAGCCCAGAAACAGCGATGATGAGCAACACAGATAACTTGAAAAAACCCAGTGCATTCTGTAGTTTCAGTCCATAATCCAAGAATGCACCGTGGGCAGCGAGACAGAATGTTGAGCACAGGAAGGCGACTACTCGGACATTAACAGTGGTAGGCTGGATTGCGAGGGCATTCAAGGTGTCTAAGGGGACCAGTTAGGAATCGTCTAGCAGAAGGAGTGAAACTTACATTCCCCGAAGACAACGCTATTTGCCGACAAGCCAACCCTTACGGATGGTGATAATGATCAATGCATTCGCGGGCCGAATATGGACTCACTATGAGCAATCCATATATCGCGTAGAAGCAAGTAATCATGAACCTCGGTCGGCGATAGATGTATTCCATGTAGGTCTTCTCCCCACCACTCCTCGGCAGTCCCTAGAGCACGGCGAAATGAGAAGGGATAAGAGCAGATGATTCGAGTCCCTGACCGTCCCAAACTCCACAAAAACAGCAGTACCTGTGGATGCGACGAGTGCACCGAGTATCCACATAATGAAAGTCATTCCTACACTCCCTGACGACCGCAAGATAATGCTAGGCGCCGCAAAAACGCTGGACACGAACATTAGCCTTCCTTCACGAAGGATGCTTTCGTTATGACGAACCCAGTTCCAAACACCCTGTTGAATATAAGCATCACTGCACTAGCGAGTCCTGAAGCACATCGGGTCAACATCATACCCCAGCGACACAATCGATATCAATTTGTGCCCACCGATCTGCTTCTTTGCATCAGGCACGTTATCGAACACGTCTGTATCACAGAGGAAAACGGAGATGTGAGTAAAACGATGTTCGATCCATGTGAGTCCGGGGCACCTACTATGGTCGGACTCATCTTGCACAGACGAATACCCTTCCACTGGAATGTCGGTGGTCACCTTCTGCTGGACCTGCGCTGGTCGCAGGAGAGGCTCCGTTTCTGAAGGGCCATCCATCAGGCGAGCTGACAGCTTGTATATCCCGCTGAATACGAGTCGAGAAAGGGATTTTTGCTGCGAGATAAGCGACGATTGGAGCTCGAAAAAGTAACTTAGACACCTTGTGAGCTTGCACACCCGAGCTATCATTGATTAGTACGTATTCACATGATACGTTCGGCCGTGCACGATCAACTGCGAAGATATAAATAAGCTGTTAGTGATAGACTGATAGTGCTATAACAACAGCTGAAAAGAGTTGATGAAGGCATTGAGCCGACCGAGCAGGTACCGAGCTACTTCGAGGTTGAACATAATACGACAATGTTCCTTGCCGATTAACAAGTTTACAAGGTTATGTCCTATCTGTTTCACAGTTGCTACATACACATTCCTATCGAAGTTGACTATAATTTCCTTACCAACTGAGCAACTGGATGCGACAATCAGCGATAAATCGCCATCAAGATGGTTTTACTAGGGGTTCAATAACAGTACCCATCTAAAAGGACAGAGATAAGCAACCCAACCGGATATAAGAATAGGGTGAAGATGGCTCGCCTTCTTCACAACACGAGGGAGAGTTCCTCTCTGGAACCCTACTCTAGTATTCCACTCTGCACCTACAGGTATGTCCATGCTACGGGCGTACTGGGCATGACTGGTATATGGGTACGGCAACTCCTTGACGAGGTACTTGGCCGCTTTTTTGTCCCGCCTCTCAGAGATGATGACATGTGCCTTTTTGTAATCGGCTCGAGATGAAGGGTCAACGCCAGCGATTTTTTTAATCAGATTTGGTCTTGGTGGAAGCTTCTTGGTACCTGTACCTCCCCAAGAGCCCTATAACGTGCGTTGAGCTCAGGTGAATAACAAGATAAGTCTCAGCTTACCCAACCAGGGAGAGTTGTATCAACTTCTCGTGGTGCGTCTGCTTCGATCTCTGTCTGCTTCAGATCCTCGAATGCCTGGAACATATCAGTACCCTGCGCGAACCCAATCAAAGGATAGCTTTCGTACCTGAACGACATTATCACCAGCAAAGGCGAGGGAGACCAATTCTCGTTGCTTGAATGCGGCTACTCCTTTGCCTTTGCCTCCTTGGCGCTTCCTCTCCAGATTATGCTCTTGTTCATCCACCTCGCTGTGTCCATCAGAGTCATCAGCACCAGCAGGTGATATCTGCACAGCGATATTGTCATTCTTCGGTATCTCCTTTCCTTTTCCTTTTCCCGTTCCCTTTAGCTCATGCTTGGTATTTATAACAGCCGGCGTAGAGGTTGGCTCAAGAACGGTGAGAACATTGTTGGCATCGATTTCCAGCACTGCGTCATCCCGAATACGTTCTTTCTCTTCTCCTCCTTTGGCAATTCGCTTCTTGAGCTTGTTGGTGGACTTCGCGAGGGCGTCAGAGCCCTTTTGCACAAGGACCTCGTTTCTCTTGCGGGATGTGCCCGAAGACGATGATGTGACGAGCCAAGGATTGCTTTCCTGCGCCGGGCTAGAGACCCTTGGGCTGGAAATGACATTCAAACTTTTGGGACTGTCTTGCACCAGGTCGGCAGATTGGAGGGTAACACTAGAAGTCTCTGATGCATGCGACCCGACTGGTTTGGCATGAGGATTTGTGCCAGGATGGTATATCACGCGCCCGCCCACGCGCTGGACTGATGGGCCTTCTGTCACTATTCCATCACCGGAAGCGTCGTCGTCACTTCCTTGCTCCACCCCTCCCATCTCTTTCAAAAAGTCATCCGCAGCTGCGTCCGCTTCTCGGGTTTGCCTTGCTGCGGCATCGCGCATGAACTTCATATTGAAGACACTCTTACTTTTGATGTCTGCAGATAGAACTTCGGAAGCATTGAGCATAGCCAGCTCTTCGAATGCGCCTTGCTTGATGGTTTCCACGTCTTGTTCTTCGTCATCGCTCTCGCTTTCCTCAGACTCGTCGCCGCTCATCTCGCCTTGTATGCGACGGCGAAGCTTTTCCCCGCGCTCCAGCATTTCTCCGATGGCCTGCCTTTGATCCACATCAAGCTCCCCGCGTCCCTGCATGGCTTTTGCCCACTTCCCAGTGGTCTTGTGTCTCAAAGTTACTCTCTCCCTTGCTCTCTCCACCTCAGCTTTCAACTGCGCTTCTGCATCCTCAACATCTACATCCACATCTTCCTCTTCACCACCCAACCGCTCCCTCTGTTTCTTTCGAATGCGGCGATACGCTTTGCTCTTAATTTTCGCTATTCGCTTCGCCTTCTTGTCGGCCCGGAATGCAAGTTCGCGCATCATGCGCAGTTCTGCACGTCGCGTCGCGACCTCTTCGACTGATAGATGGGCCATCTTCAGAGCTTCAGTTCCGGCGATATCCTGATCGCGAAGTTGAGCAGATTTCAGGAGATTATCTACGGCCGACTCGAGTTCATTCGAGGCTGACAAGGATGTACTAATTAATGACGTGAATTGAATTAACATAAGTTGGACTAACCTTGAATTTTGCAGCAAGCTCCAAGTTGGAGACACGACCTTCTGGCTGTGCTTGCAACGGAAAGCTCAAATGCTCTGCCTACAATCGCGAGTTAGTAACGAGTTAGATACGATGGACTGGATAAATCATTGCCTGCTTGATGTGCTTCATCGTAGCACTCCATTTGTCCACTTCCTCCTTGGTCTGCTCGTAAGCGGCTTCGCGATCGAGACGTTCTTGAGCTCGCTGAGGAAGTGGTGCCGACAGAGTTTTGGTTTTGTTTGAGGTAGAAGTAAGAGGCTTCATAGACTTTTTGAGCGTTGCGAGTGTGCTTGAAGACGCGAGCGGGGCAAGGAGGTCGTCTAGTTTAAGTGCTCTAGAGCCTACGTGTGTCCATCGTTCTTAACACAAAGTTGCATAGGAACGTGGGTTGAGACTCACCACCAGAAGCGACGCCAAATTCTCCCTCATCCCCAGCCTCAGTGCGCTCTTGCATCAAGCGACGCTTTTTTTGGGATGGACTGTGTGACTGAGATATCATTTGATTTGCGTTTTTTGTCTTCTGCCGGATCCAGTTTTGATAGGAAGCTTTCTAGTTCTGCGAGAGCTTCTGGGGAGGCTTCATCCTCTGATGCTGATACGGCGTCTTCTTCTTCGCCATGGTCATCCTCTGACATCTGATCGTCCTCCGACTCACTGGCCTCACCAGATACATCGACCTTCTCCGTAATTTGCCTTGCCGGTGCATCATCCTCTGCGTCTGCTTTTCCATCAAATACTTCCAGGACGTCAAAGAAATTATCGGCATCTCCGTCTTCCATCTCCTCGTCTTCATCTTCCTCGAGTTTGTCCGAAGAAGCTGCATCGGAGACAGCGTCGTCTGAATCTTCATTCAAATCAACATCAGGAAGGCTTTTGGGTAGTTTCCGAACATTCTTCTTCGATGAAGTGCCAACAGCTTTACGACGCTATCTATAGATGAGTGATGAATACGGTCTAGAGAAGAACGCCACACACCACACTGGAAAAATCGAACCCAGCATACTTTTCATCATCACTCTCCTCAAACGCATCATCACTCTCAATTTCCTCATCGTCCCCACTGTCCACTTGCTCGTCATCTGCATTTTCTCCTAGTAACCTGGCTCGTAGACCTTCTCTCCCCTCCTGACCCATGCCTCCAAGGTCAATATCATCGTCCGATGCATAGTTATGACGGTCAGTGGCCTCTTCTCGGTCAAGTTCTAAGCCAATCTTTGCTCGCCTGACTTTTGAAGGTGCATATTCGTACACATCATCGAATGATACAGTAGCCTTGCCCTTGTTAGATGACTTTTGTAAATGCCGTTTAGCATATCCTGCTGCATTAGATCTTTTCAGTGAGTCTCTGAGTTTGGACGGGCCAGGTTTTGAGGTTCTGGATGATTTGACCCTCGCAGACATTTTTGTCTCGTTGATGATTGAGTGAGGAAAAAGTAATTGGATCTGACAGTTCCCATTCAGGAAGGCGTCACTGCTTTTGGAAGGTAGTATTCTGAGCTTGCTTTGGAGAACTGGGATTTGTTCTTATAGTTGCAAGCAATCGTCATGGTTGAACTTCACGAATAATAATCCAATACCATGCCATCAGATCACTTTACAGAGACAACCCATCAAATGTCATAACGGGTATATTTACACACAAACTCGGGCACATCAGTTATGATCTTCTTATCTCGTCGTGCTACCGTATCGGGCAAGTCGAGTGTCAGCGCTTAGCGGCGGTGGCTGGCGTTACAGAGGACTTGTTTGGATTCCTCACTTCACGAACTGGGACCCAACGGATCAGAGGCCAGGGGTATTTATGAGGTGTCCTTGTCACAATTGCTCAAAAGAGATACTTGGCTCGAGATGCTCGACTGGCATAGTCAGCGATCTATCATCTCGGCAGCAACAGTTTATTTGGGAAGTGAACTGCGAACACCAATCATCTCTGGACAACAACTTTCCTGTTTCCTGGGCATTGAAGACCAGGATCGTGGGTTCGCTTGTAGTCCTTATCACGAGTTGCCTGAAAATGCGAGGTGTGGAACACTGTTGAATAGGGAATATGTTTCGGGCATAATCATCGATAAGTCCCGTCCTAAAAGATACAGCGTATAACGTACACATGCCAGTCATGATCGTATAGTTCCCAAAACATCCGCACTGCAGCCCATCCACCGTATCATTTCTCTACACATTAGTACCTTGCAGTTCCCGATCATGGTCTTCAAGGGGATCAGCGGCCATCATCGCCTGCTCCTCATCCCTTGATGACCATTGGTGAGATGCAGGGTTGAGGTTCCTGGTCGATCTTGCCCATCTATTACCACTCGAGCGAACGTTGTCTACCGTGGACCGGAAGAGCTCAATGCAAAAGTCCATGAGTTCGAGTAGATGAACTTTGGAAAACCAGGCCAGTTGATCAAAGCCACGTTTTCTCAGGACAAAGCGGTTATATAGGGTGCTAGAAACGACGAGGAGCATCAGAAAGATCATCATGCTGAGAAAATTTTATTCAGCCCATCAATAAAATGTATGTTTTCATCAACATGACGTACATGATCACCAAGAACACAATTAATCCTGAGATAAGGCCCCTTTCGCCTGTGGGACAAGCAAACTATACAATAAGAAGCTGTCAATTAGAGAAGATCGAGGTGTATATGAACCCGCACATGTGTTCGCCACTCGACCGTGTATTGGCAGGCTTGATTGTCGTCTTCCGGAAATTGGGATATTACCATCGGTTTGCCTGGATGAAACATCAATCACCGCATCCCTCATTGAGAAACATAACACCCCACCAGCTCCGTACACCGATGGGTCACAGAGAAACCTGATGGACGAGCTTCCGTATAAGTTGTTCTCCCCAGGGCAGGGTGAACCATTGGAAAGATGCAACATTAGCTCCGTACCCCTCATTTCCAGGGTTGTATTTACAAGTCTGCATTCTGTTTGTCAACTGTTGAGATGGTGTTAGGACCGCATATCACATACCCTACGGCAAAGTCGTGGTGGTCTTTCCGCACTAGACCGGCGATGTCAACATTGTCGGGAACTCCGGTGCTCCATGGGTCAGTGGTCACGCGTCGACAGACATTCAAGTAGAAAGAATGTCCACCTGGAGTCTCGAACTCGTAGTCCTGACTGTCAAAATAAATGGCTTAAACATATGCAACTTGAATGTCATGATTGCAATTTGGAGTGGCATACCTAGCTTTCAACGGATTCAGGTTGTAGTAGTTGCCTTCATGGTGCAAAGTGCATGGGGTATCACCTGCAAGCGCCGCAAGGCCAAATCCAAGGAATATACATATAGCCCACAACAGAGCACTTGGCCCACTGGCATAATAAGGCATGGTGCGGCAGCAAGACTAACGGTGTGGTTGCAGGGAGACGTGTGAATATTGTGGCAATGACCCCTCGCGTGGGGGTGCCCTATTCAGTTCACCGCACTAGCCGATTTACGCCGCGTTTCGTTGACGAACCTCATCACAATCTCGTTCCAGCGAGAAAGTCTCCATCGACGACGGCTATGGCCAGTACACTCCTGCGGCGGCAACTTGTGCTGCCGAAGTGCTCCTTTTTGCGCTCCTTTTCCTCCTCAGTCGCCCGTCGTCAGCCAGAGGTCGTGCAACCCGGTACCGATGGAACAAACAATTTGTATCAGACTCATACTGTAGAAGACCTGCATGGCATGAGCGCGGCGGAAATTTTGAAAGAGACTGGGACCAGAGCTGACGCGAAGTTGCGGCACTTTACTGGTGAGCATTTCTTCTGAACGTTGTTTTGACCGAATGAAATAAACCCACTCGATCAGTGAACTTCGGGTAAGTGTCGTTTATGATATTTGCAGTGCGTCCAAAATTTAATTGAATGCTCAGCCCCCAACATCCTGCTGCTCACGGGGTGCTGCGAATGATATTGGAATTGAATGGAGAGGAGATTCTCCGCGCCGACCCGGTATGCAGTTCAATACAAGTGCCTGAGCGAGATTGCTGATTTTACTTCAGCATGTTGGCCTCCTCCACCGTGGAACTGAAAAGCTGATTGAGTACAAGACATATGTCCAAGCTCTTCCCTACTTTGATCGGCTCGACTACGTTTCCATGAGTGAGTGACGTTTGTGACGAGAGGCCTGCCCAGTATTCAAGTGACCCCATTCTAGTGACCAACGAACTTTGCTACTCGCTCGCCGTCGAGAAACTCCTTAATATCGAGGTTCCTGAACGTGCGAAGTGGATTCGTACCATGTTTGGTGAAATCACCCGTATCCTCAGTCGTATGTTACAAACGGAACATTCCATGAGGCTTGCGCTTAAAATTGGTTCTAGACTTGATGGCTGTCTTATCCCATGCTATGGACGTTGGCGCTCTCACCCCCTTCTTGTGGGGCTTCGAGGAACGCGAAAAGCTTATGGAATTCTACGAGCGTGTTTCTGGTGCCCGACTCCACGCCGCCTACGTCCGTCCTGGTGGTGTCGCCTTTGACCTCCCGCACGGTCTCCTGGAGGATATACACATATGGGCAACACAATTTTCTTCTCGTGTCGATGAAATCGAAGAAGTCGTGACCGGCAACAGAATATGGAAGCAGCGAACTGTCGGCATTGGTGTGGTGACTGCCAAGGAAGCTCTTGATTACGGCTTCACAGGTGTCATGCTGCGAGGTAGTGGTATCCCCTGGGATTTAAGAAGAGTACAGCCTTACGACAAATATGATGAGGTATGTCTTTCGTGTTTTACAGACATGTTTATTTATCACGTATCACAGGTTGAATTCGATGTCCCAGTTGGAAAGAACGGCGATTGTTACGACCGGTACCTTTGCAGAGTCCAGGAGTTCCGCGAGTCTCTGCGCATCATCCACCAGGTTCGTAGTGTTCAGTCAAATGATCATCATTTTAGACTGAACCACCCCCATCCCCAGTGTTTGAACAAAATGCCAACAGGCGTGATCAAGATAGACGACAACAAACTCGTTCCGCCACCCCGTGCTTCGATGAAAGAAAGTATGGAGGCGCTCATTCACCACTTCAAGGTATCCTCTTCCACTCAACTACACTTGACTGCTGCTGATCACTCGTTCCCATAGCTTTTCAGTGAAGGCTACTCAGTACCACCAGGTGAGACTTACAGCGCCATTGAGGCTCCTAAGGGGGAGATGGCTGTCTACCTCGTCTCGTGCGTGATACTTGAACGCTCTGTTTAAACATCATTAATCGGGTGACATTCAGGGACGGTACCAATCGCCCATACCGATGCAAAATCCGTGCTCCCGGCTTTGCCCATCTAGCGGGTTCAGACTTCATGATGAGACGTAGGTCATTCATACCTGATTGGAAATATTGACTGAGTTATGATTTTTTCTCTAGATGTAAGATCAATAAATACTGTTCTACCATTGAAGCACTGACTGTTCCTCTTTCTATAGCACATGCTTGCTGACGCTGTCGCCATCATCGGTACTATGGTATGTACCCTGTGGTTTTATTGTTCCCGTCGCTTACCGCTGTCGTCGAACAGGATCTTGTGTTTGGGTGCGTTTTTGATATTTTGTTCCACACGATGTACGCTAACGTATATCCATTTAGTGAGGTGGACCGATAGACACTGCCTGTCAATGTACATCATGGTTCTTCTAATATATGGTGACACCATGCGTTTGCATGATTACCTTGGGTTAACGAAACAATCGTGTAACCCTCGGTTTTTAAGAACGCACTTGATCAGCAACCTCATAAACTCGTCTTGCAATCTCCAGACAGCTTGAGATGGTCCACGTACTTACTGTTTGCTCAGATAAAGAAGATACCTTTGAATGGGTATGCGGATCGAGGATGAGTGGTGGCGAACTACCTCGTTCAACTTCTCAAAATAGCAATCACATAAGCTACACTGACCAAGGCTAGGTATGTTGCGACCGTGACGATTACGAAATTGAGACGGTGCAGGTACTTTGCGGCAAGGACATATCAGGCAGACAGAAACATTTCCGGTTACCGTCACAGTGGTCTACGAGTGAGTAGTGCTTAAGATTATAGACGCTTACGCGTCAAGATCTTGGGGTTCTTCATGAAAATCAATCGGAGTGATACACCTGGGAAGACCTGTGTCGTCCTTGGGATTGAAGCAATCTTTGCTAGCTAGAGAGGTATTCAATCACGCAGATGCTCGCGTCATTTGTTCATTATGATATCATGGACAGCTGGCGTGAAGCAGGTTCCGCACACATTTATTGGTCTCCCCCGGGCTCTTGTGCTCTTTCGACGCTGTACGTCCAAACCCTAACCAGACACTCCACGACAGTGAACCTGATACCTCCCTCAACTGGGGTTGAGACTGCTGCTATCATACTTGCCCCCGACAAAGAGCGACGAGTAGTGTCAACGTCTGGCCTGCGATGGTCATCTCCAGCGGTGCATTTCTCTAGTTGATGAAGTTTGTAACAGGCAGAACTGGTATTTTGGATGCTAACTTCCTGTGATCTTCGGTCGCATGGATGCCTCGGGCAAGGATCTTCCTTTCAGTCCTGTCCAAGATAAGTGGTAGCTACTTATCAGAAACATATGGCAGCATTCACGCTACAGGATGAGGAATGACGACTCCGTCGATGCAACACCAACCCTGGTGACAACAGCAAGACAGAATTTCCTCGGCCGTGGTGTTCCAAGCGAGTGCTTAGCAGATCTCGCTGAACAGGTGCATGGGGTTTTGGCCAAATTGCAGGAGACAAGCAACCCTTGTGAATAATGGCGTAGCTCAGGCTACAGTTGACACTACATTATCCTTTATCCAGAGCTTGTCTGACAATCTGCGTTGTATGATAGAGCACCGCAAAACCTCGCAAAGGGAATGTTTGAGACTACAGGATGTGTTAAACAACGGTCTTTGGTGATACGTGCAATGAGAATCGACGGCCAATAGGAATGAAATCTGAGATATGATGCAATTAGATTGCTTCACGAACGAATTGAAATTAGCCTACTTACCGAAGTTGTCCCGGTGGGCATCATCGGAACTACATAAGACAGCCCTCACCACGGTCAGCCGATTTAATGATATCGTCGCTTTGTTTGCTCTTTTGATGCCTCTTCACTCGTGTCAGTCACCGTCTTCACCTTGCAGGCTGGAAGAAGCTCTGAGAGATTTGAGATGCGTGTTGACGTCGCCCCATGTGTCCGCAAGGTGAACGTTGGGGAGCATGGCGAAAATGATGCGAGCGACAGCTTCGGGATCCGCTGCCGGAGAGGGGTATATGCCCATTCTTTTCAAGGAGGTGTGTTGAAATGATTCGACTTTAGGATCGATATCAATGTTTATAACATCTACATCTAGAAGCAGGCTATGCACATGGGGACACTGACGAAGCGCTTCGAATAATCCGAGGAAGGTGACTTTAGGTGGTCGATGATGCAGGTCGGGAAACGACAGACTGCAGAGCTGTGGCCAACTTGAGAAGGCTTCCACGAGAAGGGCATTGTCAGGGTTGATGGAGCAACTAACACAAAGACTGAGGGCTCGCAGCTGCGTGAAACAAAGAAGCACCCTAGTCACTGCAAATGAGTTGTCTGTGGGCTCCTCAGCTTTTGGATCATCATCGGAAATGTCGATTTTTTCAAGGGTATGGCAGGCTTTGCACTGTGATAGTGCTTGTAAAAGCGGCAAGAGTTCTTCCCCAGGTAAAATGGAGGCGACCAACTCGAATTCTTTTAGCGAGGGGAATTCTGAATGCTGTATGACTGCGGTGATGTCCGCAATTGGTGCATAACAGAAATGAAGAGATGTAACGTTGAGGAAAGATACAAAACTGAGATTGTGCGTGTCCAATTTGGACGGGGGATTTGAAAAGCTTTCTTGATATATCGACAGGCTGAGAAGGGTAAGGACAGTGGAGAGGTGCTTCCATGCTGCCGAGTCCAGCGGTGGACATTGCAGACGTACGAGCGCCTTGCATGAACAGACAGTTTCAGAGAGATGTGAAGCCTGTGCCATAACACCCATTGTGTCGATATCCAAACCTTCCAGAGCAGGACAACGGGTCCCGATAGAATTCCGACCTAGCTCTGGTTGAACTATTGCGATATAACAAGTACGCAGCGTAGGTGATAGGAAGAAGCGCAAGTATCTTGTGGAAATAACCACCCAGGACAATGAAAGCAGGTTTGGGAACACACATGTGTCGAAGGGTAAAGCATAAAGGAGGTGAAAATCGTCGTCGGATGATACGCTCAGGGAGCGCACACGGCCGGAATGACGGAGAAATTGACCGCGCTCGAGCTCAGATAATGGTTCGATGTCCAGAGACCAGGATTGCTGTGATGAAATGTTCGGTGAGCGAATGGACGAAAAAAGAACACTGAGCTCGTATGGGCTCAGCGTCCGCACTAACCTGAGCACTGGGGTATATCATCGGATGTAACCTCGTTACACAGCCTAGCAGTGGTAGTAACATATTCATGTCAGCCCAAAGAAAATCCATTGCAGGCTCGTAGAAGATTTTGCATGTGGTTGCGAGCGCTGCAAGTGATTGTCGAGACAACGGTTTCTGGGCATATGATGGTTCCCCGATTTGTTTCACATGCGCAAAGATATACAGGAGAATTTCGGGGACAAGTAAAGCCTGATGCATCCTAGTTGTGCGTTGAATTGTCGAGAGTTATCAGATCTATCATGATGAGAGTCTCACAATTAATGTGACGAGCCACTATACTGCTTGTGACGCGTGACTTCACCGCTCTCATTTCGTCACACCCGCCGCCCGCTACTCCCTCTTAGCAGTGTGTCTCGTTCTTTGTTTCAATGGTTCCTTTTGACTCGACGCATCACTTTCGATGGCAGAATCTCCGATCTGTGAGCTGCTGTGGCCCGCCTAGCCTCACAGCTCACCCTGGACTCTTCGCACAGCGTCGAAAAACCTTTCGGGTTTTCAGCCCGAATAGCTTCATCACTCCTATTTGTATAAATCAGATACCATTGGCCGGAAATTCATCTGATTTATGTCTTGTTACGAAAGCTAACAGTAGCGCATAGACGCCAGACGCTCATTATGATCTTTTTCAGTGAACTTGGAGTCGTATTACTTACAGGGTGCTCGATACTCCTGCTTGTCTTGAGCATTGCAGCCTACCTATTTCTGCTGCTTTAATCAATATCGCAGTCCACAACGTGCCCTGCCATATAAATATGTGATACGATACTATGGGTGGCTGGATATGCTACAAGCTGCTCCTGACTTCGGCTCCAGGACATGCTGTGGTTCTCCCCGTCATAACTTTACAGACACTGCAGTAGTTTGTGACTTACAGCACACATCTTACTCTCAAGTACTAGTCCATCCCTATATGTCATGATCAGTGTCGGTGAAATGCTGCAAGTTGCCATCAGCAGTATGTGCCATCTATCTTTGCTCAGCATGATGTACTGATGATTTTCCAAAGTGGTTCTGGCAACAGTTTGTTTCATCATTACTATCCTGTTTCATTTCATGACAAACTTCCTGCCTGATGATACCCTTCCACTCTTGGCTGAGGAGCTAAGCCACCTAGAGCAACACCCCAAGGACCCGAGGGAGACACATCCCACTGGAGTGCAACAAATTGTCATTACTGGTATGTGATACCAATTTCTGTTTGGCACTTATTGATAATTTCACTCAAGCTATTTGTGCAACTGATCTCACTATTGGTCTCTGATGGATCCCCATTGGCTTCCATGTAGTAGTGAAGACTGACAATGCTGAATCCAAGATGAGCAACAACACTGTACATGTAGATCAGGCTATTGTTGAATGGAATGAGTGCATATTTCTGTAAGTGGTCCTTAGCTTATCTTTCCTGCAGGTGTTGAGAAAGACTCTAGGCCATGTGAGCCATCTTCTATAGTCCAGGTCAGTGATGTATGCCTCGTTTGAATTGGGACCCATGCTCTGTCATGGAGAAGTCCTTTGCACATTTGAGATCTTTGTTGGAGAATTACTGGATCACATCGTCAGTATTGTCTATTGCAAATAATGCCTGGCAGATGTTAACAAGTGTTGTAGCCATCATCTTCCAACCTGAGCAGGATGAAGTTGTATCCCTGTGTACTTCACTGTTTGTTACAATTATGTATGCTCCTATTCATTTTCTCTCCTATTGTGTATTACGTCACAAGCTGCATGATGCTGCCACTAGACTTATCTCTGACTCATACTTTGTATTACATCACAACCACTGTTGCCATTGCTAGATAACCTATTCTTGCTATCGCTTACACATCCTTTACCTCTGACTCATAACCACTCTCATGTCTGCCCTAAAGTACTTGTAGCTCACTATAAATAGTTCTCTTGTACACTTTAGTTCTGCACTTTAATCTTACTAGGTTTTACCTGGAACATCCTTTGCTCAAGACCTCCAATCTCTTGTTGTCTGAACTGTACTTTAAGTTAGAAGCACTCCTTCTGACTTAGCTTACACTGAATGCTTGACTTATTGTCTTGTGTAGAATCTTGGCAGAGGTCCTGACTTTTATCAAGTTGTCTGTTGTTAGAACTATCCTAGTTTGTAACAAAAGATTAAAGTCCTTATTGAACCTCTCCATCCAGGGAGGCCCCAGTAGCTCAAAGCAAGACGACCCCTTGAGTTAGAAAGTATTGGTGGGAAAGTGATCCAAACAATGTCCCCACAGAACCAGAAGAAGAGTATCATGAGGCCACAGGTCTGGATATCACAGAAGACAGAAAGAGACGAACACTGTCCCCTGTAACTACAGAGTGTCATATCTGCATATCTGGATCTCAGATCCAATCCACATCTTATCCCCCTCCAACATCTCATCATCCAATCTGTCCACTTATCCGGTCCAGTCCACAATTCATCCGAATCCACAACCAGCACTTATCTCCTTTCAGTAATCCCCTAACTCCGGTATTTCAGCTATCTGTATATCCATCCTGCTCCCTGATCTGTTACCTATGCTTCATTTCCATTTCATGATTTGTGATCCATTTCTACTTACCAATAGACTATCCATATGCTTCATACATAGCCTCAGACTCTGCTGATTGATCATTCTGTTAGATACCTATAGTATATAACCTCCTGTAACTCTCTGTAGCACCTTAGTTCAAATATCAACTTAGTTCTGCTCATTCCATCCTCTGGACCTGAGTACTGCTACTCTCGTCACCCTCCAAGACTTAGGATTGATTCCTATAGTCTATCTGCATCCGCCTCTGTCTATGACAGCCATTACTGCTAGTTTCTAGTCTGGACTTGTCCGGATTAGTCTTATGATACTTAACCCTCATCCAGAAGTCATCTGGATCCACTACACTACCCGTCTGACCCTCCAGATGCATTAGTCTTGCCTTCCTGAAATAAGGGGCAATACTCGAGTAAGGGGCACAGCACATGAGCTGAGGCTGAAGCCCTTAGGATCCATTAACCCTTGAGTATGACCTTAACACAGAGCCAGATCATCATTCAACTACATCAGTAGACGAATTCCCAGAAGAACAACCACCCCAAAGTCTTTCCACACATCCCAGTATCAGAATGTCTGCTCCTATGTCTGCTTCCAAGCTTAAAGCTGGAACACCAAAAGACTATGACAGAAGCCCTGACCAGGCTTTAAGATGGTTGTTTTCAGTGAAAGCATACTTTGCTGTTAATGCATCAGTCTATAACACTGACAAAAGAAAAGTTATTACCACGCTTGTGTACATGACTAAAGATAGTGCCATGGGCTGGGCATTAACATTTTACACCAAAGTAGACAACTCCACCACCAAGTCCTATGGAACCTTCACAAACTTTGAAGCAAAGTTCAAAGAAGCATTCATGCCAGCAGATGCAGTCGGTACTGCTATGAATAAGCTCCGAACCCTGAAACAAACAGGTGACCTCACTTCCTATATTGCTAGCTTTAGGACCCTTGCTGCACAAGCTTCTGTAAAGCAAGACACTGTCCTAATTACATTCTTCAATGACAGACTCAAGAAGGGAATTGGTAACACCATTTATCAAATGGAAACTGTCCCTACAGACTTTGATAAATATGTCCAAGCCACAATTAGACTTGATGGTAACTGGCAATGTGGTGTGATATTCCGCAACAACAATTGCATGACCACAAAACCTACTGGTCAATGTTATGTTCCAAGACCTTCTATTGATTGCTGTGACCCCAATGCCATGGAAGTTGACCACCTCACTGAAGAAGAGAAGACTGAACACTACCAGAATGGCAAGTGTTTCAATTGCCACCAGAAGGGCCACATCTCCCATAACTGCCTGAAGAAAAAGAATGGCAAAGCCCTGGTACATTGTACCAAACCAGCCAAAGAAGATGAAGAGGAAGTCTGCTGTATCAACAAGGATTTTTAATGTGGAAGACTGGATCAACATCAGTATCTTCCAATGTACCTATTAGACTTGTCCAAGGTGTAGGAATCAGAAAGGAACTTCGCATGCCCATTTCCCTTATCTCCAAGACCCATCTGAAAACTGTCAAAATGACCGCCATCGTTGACTCTGGAGCTGCCAGAACCTTTATCTCTGAAGAATTTGTTAAGCTTCACCACATCCAAATGCATAAACTTACAAAACCATTCCAAGTTACCACAGCGGATGGAAGTTATGCGAAGGGAGGCACAATCACCTGCTACTGCATCCTCATCGTGAAAATTGATGACAATCCATGCTTGGAAAGTTCAACGTTACAAGACTTAGCCATCATGACCAGATTTTGCTAGGAATCCCTTGGCTGCACACCATGGATCTGATTATTCAGTGGAAAGCCGAAACCCTAGAACTCTCTTGAACTGAGAAAAGTGATCTAATAGAAGAAGACGTTGATGCTGAACAAAGAAAGAACAACCTTCCTCCTCTCTTTCAGAAAACCATTGAAACCCTGATCAATAAAATGTGGAAAAACTCCCATTTAAAGAAAGAAGAAACAACAGTTGTAGTGCTGCCAAAGGTGCCTCCTGTGCAATCCATATCAGATCCACTCCCCTGAGCAAAAATCAAAGAAATCCCAGATGAAGAAGCACCCCTGGTCTTACCCAACCTTGACCCCATCCCTGATGACAATGACGATTCTTTTGACACCAAAGACGATGTATGGACTTCAGATTATGCACTGCCCATACATGAACTCACTGGAGGACAGGAGGACAGGATGTCCAGAGGTACAAAGGACAGGATGTCTGAAGGTACAGAGGGCAGGATGTCTGAGGGTTACAAGGACGGAATGTCTGAAGGACAGGATGCCCAGAGGTATGAGGGACAGGAGGTCCGGAGGTCTGGAAGGAATAGGGGTTACATTGGATGAAGTCCGATGTAGAAGCAAACAGAGGTAGACTACCCTAAAGTAGAGTTGGAGAGAACAGGGATTGGACCTAAGTCCAGAAAGAGGGTAAGTGCTGGAAAGGCAGAGCTCCGGCCTAGGGAATCAATCCCTAGGCCTGATGGGTAAGACAGACTTAGGTGGACCAAAGTCCAAGAGAGGATTGGGCAAGTCTAAGTTGATATTCAAACTGAGGAACTACAGGAGTATCTACAGGGGTTATATACTGGACAACATCTGAGGGGATCAGTAAGCAAAGGAGCAAGGCTATGTACAAGCATGTGGAAACACATTAGTAAGTAAGATGGAACATAACTAAATGAACTTGGAGATAAAGACTTGTACAAGGATCAA